GGGGCCCCCAGGACAGCTGGGAGCCTTTCCCGAGCAGGAGGGGGGCACTCTGCAGCTTTCTGGAATTGGATGAGCAAAGTATCACCTTTTTAAGTCCATTTTGCTTTTAAATACATACATTTGGCTAAATTTCTATCCATGAAGTGCCTTGGAATACTTTTCCAGCAGTCTGGGCTCCAGCCTTGCCTCCCACCACCTGCTTTCCACACGGTGCTACGACTCTGGGCCCAGGAGGGCTGAGCCGCCCCCTGCTCCAGCTGGACTGACCCCAGCCCTGGGCTCTGCCTGGCCTTTAGTACCTCCCCAGGGAATTCCAGCAGCATTCCGTGCTGCCAGAGGGACCAGCTGCTGGCACTGCCCCGGAGCAGGGGGCACACAGGGTATCACACCCGGGCACACTCACACCCACACCGAGGCTCATTCCCGCAGAGCTCCTGCCCTCTGCTCTTCCTGGGAAAACGTGCTTGACAGGGAGCTGCTTCCACAGGCAGTGGCCAGCCAGAATGTTGGAAAAAGCCCCCAGGGAGCCCTGTTTCCCATTCCAGAGGGGCTCCCTGGAATGTCCCTGGAGGGTCCTTGGGCTCCTCTCCCCATCCAGCTGCTCCTGCTCCCGGAGCCCCTCGGCCCAGCCGAACTGAGCCCAGAGCTGCCCCGGGGGCACTGGGACCACAGACATTCCCAAAAGGAAAGGAAAGTCACTCTCCCTTTGTTACAACCTTCTGCCAGAACCAAAAACCCCCAGGGACGGTGGACTTGGAAAAAGCAAGTTCAGCTTTTTCCACGGGAACTGTTCAGAAAGGAACAGCAAACGTGGGCAATGTCAAAACTGGCATTTAAGCTACTTAAAATTCCTGGGGTGGAACCACTACCAGATTTTTAAATTACCTTTCTTTGTTAATTAAAATAAATAAAGGCTGAAACAAACCATGTAGACTTACTTACATTTAGTCTTTGCAAAGCAATGCTAAATAGTGCTTTAGTCCCAGTTCAGGACAACAGGCTTTGAGCTCTGGAACCTTCCTGCCAAGGCCACTCTGCTGCCACTGCATGGAAAAGTAGCGAAAACATCCCGTTAAAGGAGTGGATTCCTGCTTGTTTAACACAGAAAGTGCTTCAGCAACCTCCAAGAATCCCCTTTTTTTACAGCTGAATTTCTGAATGCCTTATATGACTGCACAGCAGAGCAGTTGGGCACACACAGAGCAGTCCCTGTGCAGTCTGGTTTTAGGGAAACCTCTGGGATCCAACCCTATTCTGTCACGTGGGGACATCAGTGAGCTCCTCTGCTCTGCTCTGATCAATCATCTCTGCCTTCCTTCCACAGTGATTGTATCCCAAATAACTGCAGTCGTGTGGCAGAATTAATTAATTAACTAATCAAGTGATGTGAAAAGTACCTTAAAGCAATAGTGTGTGTCAGGAAAACACAGTCTCTGTTTCTCTGCTCTGGCTTCACGTATGAAGTGTTCCAAGGAACGCTGTATTATACTGTAAACTAAAACATTAATGCATGAATTTATATTTTCAATGGTCAAGATGCCATTAAATGAAAATCTCTGTCAAATAAATTTGGATACAAGTTTTCCATGTCCAGTTCTTAAATCCAAATAGCAAGTCGATCTGGAAAGACTCTTGGGACTTGCTTTACAATTCCCTTCCAAGCAGAAAATGGCCTCCAACACTGTGTCAAAACCCAAAGAAACCAAGACCCCTCAGACTTACTGGGAGCTGGAGCTGGAGCTGCCCAACCTGGTTCCAGAGCCGGGAGAGGAGGAGCCGGGAGGAGCCGAGGGACACGGCTGCACCACCTGGAGCCACCCCACCACCTCCCAACAAACACAAGGGGTTAGAGCTGCCTCAGACACCAAAGTACCCAGGGCACGTTATGTCTAGAAGCTTTATTGAGACTCGGGGTTCTGGGGTTGGGGTTTTTTGCGGTTTTGTTGGTTTTTTACATCTCACAATGCATTCCACAGACTTAGTTCAGTACAGCTCAAACTGCAAGTGTATAAATGTTCACTTCTCATTTCTTGCATAACAGGACAGGGCTTAAAAGTTTCCAAACAACATTTGCAGCATTAGATACTCGGTCCACAGATTATCAGAG